AAAAAAAAAAAAAAAAAATCCTTGTTTGCTCATTCTAACATCTGGGTCTCTTCAAGGTTGGTTTCTGTGTAAGTCTGCTTAGGCTGTCATGGCAAGATACCATACTGGGTAGTTGAAGCAACAGAAAGTTCTCACAGTTTTGGAAGCTGGGGAGTCCAAGACCAAGGAATTAGCAAGGCCAGCTTCTGGCAAAGGCTCTCTTTCTGGCTGGCAGAAGGCCGCCTTCCTCCTTGTCTTTCTTCACAGGGCTTTTTCCTAGGGGACGTCTCTCAGATGTCTTTTACTAGCTTCCCAAAGGCCCCATTTCCAGATATTATCACATTGGGGATTAGGGTTTCAATACAGGAATCTTGGGGGACAAACTGTCTACAGCAGTCTTCAAAGATTGTCTTTTTACTTGCGTATGAGTCATGTTTTACTGTTTTTTCACATAATTAGCTATTTTGGATTATATGCTGAATTTTTTTTTTTTTTTTTTTGAGTCTCAGTCTGTCACCCAGACTGGAGTAAAGTGGCCGCTCCTGGCCACCGCAGCGTCGACCCACTGGGCTCCAGCAATCCTTCTGCCTCAGTCTTCCAAGTAGCTGGAACTATAGGTACGTACTACCACGCCCAGCTAATGTTTTTGATTTATTGTAGAGATGAGGTCTCGCCAAGTTGCCCAGGTGGGTCTCAAACCTGCAGGCTCAGGCAATCCACTCACTTCAGCTTCCCAAAGCACAGGATTACAGGCTAAGCCACCGAGCCTGGCTTATATGTTGAATTTTGTAAATAACATGCTGTAGAGAATCTGGATTGTATGTTTCCCTGAAGTGTTGATCCTTTAATTTTAAGTAGGTAATTAATATGCATAAACTCAAGATTAGGACAGAGTTCATAAAGAGTAATTTTAGAGTTCTTCTCCTGTGGTTTTCTTCTTTCCAGGATTCCTCCCTCATTTCCTAGTGGTTGTAGAAGCCCCAATATGTGTCCTCTGGTTATTCACGCTAGGAAGACTGTGGTTTCCTATCTGAGTTTTAGTCCCTGTACTTCCCACATCAGCTGGGACCTGTACTCGGCAAATATATGAAAGAACAGTTAACTCACCCAATTCTTCCAAGTGTCAACCCCCTCAGGGTCTGTCCACTTTTGGTCATTCTCCACCCTTCAAGCAGTTGTTTCTTATATTTTGCCTAGAGTTTATAGTTTTGTTTTCAGAGTTGGAGTCTCACTGTGTCGCCCAGACTGAAGTGCAGTAGTGTGCTCCTGGCCACCGCAGTCTTGACCTGCTAAGCTCCAGCGATCCTTCCACCTCAGCCTTCCAAGTAGCTGGAACTACAGGCGTGCACTACCATGCCGGGCTAATTTTTGGCTTATTGTAGAGACAAGGTCTCACCAAGTTGCCCAAGTGGGTCTCGAACCTGCGGGCTCCCAAAGTGCTGGGATTACAGGCTGAGCCACTGAGCCTGGCCGAGATTATAGTTGTTATTTATGGGAAGGTTAATTTGATGAGAGTGCCAATACTCAAAGTGAACCCAATCACTCTTTAAATTTTTTTATCATTAAAAAAGCTATAATTTAAACTCTTCTAGTCTTAGCCACATTCTGTAAGTTTTGATTTGTAATGTCTTTATTTAGAAAGTATCTGGCAATATTTTGCATTTTTTCCTTGATCAAATAGTTTTTTTTTTTCTTCTTTCCTTTGAGTAGGAGTTTCACTCTGCTGCACAGGCTGGAGTGCAGTGGCATGCTCATGGCAACCACAGTCTTGACCTGCTAAGCTCAGATGTTCTTTCTGTTTCAGCCTTTCAAGTTGCTGGAACTACAGCCATGTGCCATCATGCCTGGCTAATTTTTTTATTTATTGTAGAGACAAGGTCTCGCCAAGTTGCCCAGGCTGGTCTCGAACACCTGGGTTCAGGCAATCTTCTTGCCTCTGCCTCCCAAAGTACTGGGATTATAAGCATGAGCCACCACGCTTGGCCAAATAGGTAGTTATAGGTGTGCTTTTTAGTTTCCAAGCAGTGAGGGGTTTTGTTTATATTTTTTAAATGAGTTCATAGTTTTATTGTATTTTGGTCAGAAAATATGGCCTGTACAATTTCCATTTCTTTAACTTTTGGTTGCTGAGTAATTGATAATTTTGTCCCTTTAATAAGAAAGTTATATATCAATTATTTCTATCTCATTAATAGCATTATCGCATTTATGTGCTGACATAGAAAGTCAAAATAAACATTTAGAGTATTAGTGGTTTTGAAACCTTTTTTTTGGAATCATGTTAGCATTTTTTCAAAGCAAAATATTCATGTACTTACAAATAAAACAGACCACAAGTGTGGTTGTATTGGGGGAAGAGGATGTGGAGCATTCAGGCTGGAGCCTAGCTCCCTAGACTCTTCTTTTTCTTTGACTACCTGTGAGGTTCCTTAAAAATGAAAGAGGATAGCCAGGCTTGGTGGCTCAGCCTGTAATCCCGTGCCTTTGGAAAGCTGAGGTGAGTGGATTGCCT